GGTAACCTGGCTGACAGGTTTGTCCGTTTGCGCTTTTCAGATAGCTATTTGCAAAATGGATTTATTTCGGTCGTTACGACGCCTGACGTTATTCGCAACTAATATTGCCCGCTGTCGATTAAGACGTGTTTTGTAAGGTTGGCGGCTCACTGTTAGTTACCGCCTGAAGTGTGTTCCTTGTGACGCGGTACGCGTGCAGCCCCTTTCGATATGATCACCAAGCTCTCCGGTGCGTAGGATTATTTTAGTTTTTCGATAATATTTTGCACAGCTTGTCGCAATTAAGGTTCTGGAATAATTCTCACTATTAGTAGATTGTAAAGTCTTTGATGTTCGACTCGACTCAAACTTTTGGTGCTCGTGAAAGAACGTCATCTGTGCAGTTGACGTCTAATCACTAAACCCATCTTTCTCAGGTGGCAGCCAGTCGTGCAGTAATCTGCCGACGCGGCGTAGAATGATCGCAGTTGTTACTACTCCCCTGTAATAAAGGTTTGGAATTTGTCCCGACAGCGGATGCCTAGGGCCGACGTCATATTGCACACTCGAAAGCCACATGTGGGCGGGGTTGAGCAAGCTATCCTGGTGGCACAGTACTATGCAGACGAATCCATTTTTTGGTTCTTCATCCTCGCGGATAGTCGTCTTGAGGTGAGCAGTGGTCAGGAAGTGTTACTATCTGCAGGGGAGCCGGGAGTGGTCGTCCTTGTCGTTGTTGGTAACAGTTCTCCATTACCGATACCTCGTCCTTATCTGACCATGCAAGGGGGCTGTAGATCGCGACTGCAAAGGCAAAACACTGTCCACCGTATTTTGTCTTACAACCCAAACAGGCCAGCCGACATTTGCCCCTCAGCGTAGTCGTGTCTGTCCAGTGCGTCAACACTTAACAGATGCTGATGTGACCTTTTAACTGATGCTGTTCGAGGGCGAATGGTGTTTGCCTTCGGATCCGGGAACCGCAGAAATCCGTCCAATCACTGACCTCCATAACCATTGCCGAAAGAGCCACGACTTCGCCTCGTTTCGAACTACCATACAGCTGTATACCACGCACTGGTTGGACCCGGTGGAGGCTTGTTCTGTTGGAAGGATTAGTTTTCTCTGCAACTGTAGCATGCACCTGGGCTACCGCCACTGTCAGGTATGGTTTCTTCAAACAGCAGCAACAGGAGAGGACGGCGAACGCTATTCCTGTGTGGATTTGAATGCGGTCTACCGAAGGTCCACATGCACAGCCTGTGTTCGTCCGATTTTAGATACGCGTACCATGCGATATTAAGGTGGGTAGCAAATAAACTGAAGCTAGAACCGCATAGTTATCCGGATACGACATCAAGAACCTGAATCCTAGTGCACTTCTGACACTTGCAAGACACCTCATCATTCTTGACAAGCGTTATAGTCACCAAAATTGTCAAATAGCTCTGCAAACTTCTATCAACCAGCTAGCAGGAAATCGGGACATCGGTGAATGCCCTCGAAGAACTATCACTGAGGTGTACACCACTCGTGCAGTTCCTCTCGGACACCCAAGTCTATAGACAAGTGGAGAGCACAGAACTTCGTGTCGGCCCCACGTTCGCCATGGTTAAAAACCAGTTAACCGACTGACTGCATGCGATTTTGCTTGCCTACCCCCCCCCCCCCACCATGGCTCTTCTCAACCCCCTCCCCACCTACATTACCTATCATCTCCTTTCTGTTGACACTGATGGTCCCTGTTCTCCCGCATCCCCCACATCCCGCTGGTGTGAAAATGTGAGTACTGCTCGATTTCATCGACTACTCACATGTTTTACTTAACCCCGTCACCATCTTAATGTACTGACCTGATAAGAATTCATCGGAATCAAACGCCTGCTAGCCAAGCAGTCTTCTGAATTTGATTATTCTCGTTCGTGGCCAATGGAACGGACCGGAGGTATTACGCTAGAGAATCTAAATCACCCGCTCACCTGAACAAGGAGTCCGGGTTCAACCCTCGGTTTTTCCGGGCTTGAGTTGAAGCGTTATTGGCTGTTGATGGCAAATAACTCAGCGATGGTCGCCCAAGCCTCCTTTATCCTTGTCGCCAATGAAGCGCTCTTGCTATCTTAGTTTTTTACACAGATCGTATTTCCCTACCGTGTAAGAGACTGTTGGAGACGACAGTTCTGCATCCTCTACTCTTTATCGGATGCGGGAATTTGGTCTTATTCTATACGCCATTATTGACCACAAAGTCCAGCAGGCTTACCAGTTTCCCACTGAATTTCCCTGTCCGGGTAACCGTCACTCGAATCAACGTTGACCAGCTTCTTGGTTGTATCCGCCCTCCTCAGCTGTGACCTTGATAAGCGTGAAAGCGATACGGCCAGCGGTGGCTCGGTATAGGGTCAATGTGAGAACAAGGAGCCGGGGGAGGGGATTCTGCGAAACCGCCGGCTTGAAGTTGGAGAGTGGGCTGTATGGAATAAGGGGTCACAATCATCGGTATATTCTGCTCCAGATATTACAATTTTTGGCGGTCTTTAGCCGACAACCTGTAATACATGCATTAGATTGGCCATGTTGACCGGTGGCATGTGCACCAGTTCATAGATTTTGCCGTACACCCGTTTAGCCCGCTCCGTATCAGCCACCCCACCCCATCTCAACAACAGTTAACCCCTAGGTCCCTGGAGCATAGGGAGGAAGGAAGGAACATGGGACTGATAAAGTCTGATTTGCTTAGTACTATCGTCTCTGTTCAGCTGGGGAAGAGTTTGAGACGATCACTGTTTGGGGTCTGGTGTGCGTGGTCATACATTAAAAATTATCTGAATTCTAGGTAGTGTCTCCTCATTTAGGGTCATTCAGTCTGACTGGTCCTTCTGTTTCCAAGCGAAGGACAGTATTCTTTTTCGGACTGTGATATTCAGTGACTCCACAAAACAAAGTATCGAGCTGCGGACGTCGGAAATTGTAATCGAGCGTTCTGTGAACTGAAGGGACCGCTGCTGATGATTCGCTGTATTCTGAAGTCTGAGACAACGACTATCATTCCTTCTTACTTGGTTGAAGGGTCCTTATACAGCTGGCCGAGGACATTTTGGTTGTGAAATCTGACTGCAGAGGCGTTGTTCTATTGCTTCTTACCCACTTCTCGAGATCCCTATGTGCGACCCAGGAGATATTTCGGTGTTATTCAAAGGTATTTTTAGTGCCGATGGCCGTGAATCACAGTTTGTTGGATGCAGCAGGAGGTCCTGCAATTTTTACGCCTTGGAGTCGGGTGGTCCACTTTGAAACAAACACTGCGACTCGTATGAGATTTCGCGTCATCTGACACCGACTGGTCATGTTATTTTACCGCTAATTCTTTGTGGCCCTTTGGTTCTTAGGTATTGGCTGGCATGCACCGCTCATTTTTATGCAAGCCCCTAAATCGATTCGCGTGGGTTACTTATTTACAGATATCAGTAACCTACTCGCCGGAAAGAACAAACTCTACACGACCGCCGTACCGATACAAACAAAGCGGCCTTCCACAGATGTCGCTGCCTTGTGCATCAACGGCTGCGGAAGATGCAGGACGCCTGGTTAGTTCGCAACACCGAGGAAGTCCAAGAGTATGCTGACCGCAGTGGAACAAAGGATTTCTTCGTGCAAATTAAGACGGTCTACGGCTGCACAGCCAAAGGAACAGTGTAGTTTCCCAACTCCTGCGGATCAACACTTCACGAAGGAATCGCTAATTCTGAATTGTTGAGTCGGGCACTTTATAATCGCCTCACGTTTCGCTGTAGATTAAACCCCTCAATCTAGTAACTCCTGTATTTTCCTGCAGTGCGGGATTTGGCCTGACGATTGTAGCGTCCTGAGTATTCTCGCTGCATGGGTGCTACACGCCTTTGAGACTGTGGGCTGTGGAGAGTCACGCAGAAACTCGACTGTCCTGGGCGATTCACGCACATGGAGCGTCAGCTGCACGACAGGATGATTGCACGCGTCATGGACAATGGGACAGTCTCAGAAGCATTTGCAGTGACTAATGGAGCGAATCGGGGTCGCGTACTCGTTCCCATCCTCAATTTCATGTTCTCTGCTATTCCGATGAGCGCCATGGGATCAACACTTTCTACAGGACTGGCGGTCCCCTTCACAATAGAAGGTTGATGCAGGCCCTAACGCGTCTGCCCACGACAACTGTCACAGCCTGCCCCGTTCGCGGACGACTGTGCGTCCAACACCGTGACAGAACCGGATGTTCAATGGAGCATGACTCTCTTCACATCCGGCTGCGCAAACTTCGAGCTGACCATAACCACGGACAAAACGGTTGTCGCCATCAGCCGTTATCCAACACCCTCGCATCACGATCAACAGCACTCAGTTCCAAACAGTGAATAAATTTACCTATTTAGGCACCACAATCATGCTACACCTAAATCAGCGACGAAGTTGCCCACTGGATGTCCAAAGCAACTCAGTTCTTCGGCCGGTTGCAGGCCTCCGCCTGCAATTGTCATGGACTTCGACTCAACACGAAGCTCAGAATACACAGGGCGTAGTCCTGACAAAGTTACCATACGGGACTGAGACGTGGGCCGTCCAAACAAATCAGACCAGGAAACTCACTCACCTCCACCCCAGTTGTTCCCAGAGAACACTAAAGCTGGGGTGGTTAGACCGGATCTCGGACACGGCAGTCTTGGGATGGACCGGAATCCTCAGCATCCATGTCATGCGGAGGCAACTATAACAGCGCTGGAACGGTCACCCTGTGGGGCTGGACCACGGGAGCCTACCAGAGAGAGACTTCTGCGACGAAGACACAACGGGTGCTCGTCAAAACGAAGGACATAATCTAAAAAACAGTCGGCCGACCTCCGTAAAGGATTTACAAATCAGTCTGGTGACCTTGGAAGACCTCATCCGGGACCGATTGACCCGCAGAACAACAAAGACTGGAGCAGGCATCTACGACGCCAACCGGATAACCACTGAAAAAGCCGCAAGGGCGACTGGTGAGTCTCAAGCGTCGCAGACTGTCAGCCCAGACACCTTCACCACATCCAACATGCCCACACTGCCCACGAACATTCTCCCATTACCAATGAAAACACTTTCGATGCCTCGTCATCCACTGCCCACACCACCACATCCCCACTACCAGCAAGGTGGACTCTATCCCAACCTCCCCACTGCGACCGCACGTTAAATTCACGCATCGACCTAGTCAGAATCCGTAGCACCGAGACCGGCGCAACAGTGGCAGGAGCGCCTTCAAACCCACCGCACCCGTTTTACCTGTTCGCACTGTCCACTCACATCCACTCACCGCATGGACCTACTCGGACACTTGCGTATTCATGAAAACCTGCAGTAAAACATCGTCAACCAAACCCCATCACCACATACCTTTTCATCAGCAGATACAACACACGTGCCCATCCCTGATCACTCACCACAAGCACAGAATCGGCAGTTCTCATGCAAGCGGTAATCATGGTTTTCGGGTCCTTCCTCATGTGGCCCCTCTGCTACTCTAACTCATGTGAGCTCCGAGTTGTCTGCCCCTTTGAGTGAGATCTTGCTGAGTTATTTCTGGCGGCAAGGTCATGTGTGTGGCACGAGCAAGCGAGCTATTTTGGCCCTGTAAGTTACCGCGCCCAGTCTCAGCGTCGTTTAGTGGACCGTCCCGGATTATCGACTGGTGTACGTCGTGGGGTAAAGCAAGTGTGGTCGACACTCTGCGCATATTTTTTACTATAAACAATCTGACGCGCTTGAAACTACATCGGTACACTAGACTCCGGGGTGTAGGGGTGTCAGCGGTGGGTTCACGTAATGGTCGTGGTGGTCGCTCACTTGCTTGCAGGTGAGACTGCGCCTAGCGTCCACTTGCTGGCACTCAACTCTCACATGTGGCTCCACGTAGCTGGGCTCTGCTCAGCGGCCACACCCCGGGCAACCGTCTCGACCGGCGGGCTAAACCAGGCGAGGGGGGCCTGTGCGCTGTGCCGTGTGCACAGGGTTTGCGGATTCCGCTGGATGGAAGGTCGGATGGAACCTTGCGTCGGCACCGTCGTGACGTGGTTCGTCTCTGCACGCCGCTGGACAGCCGGTGACGGGATGGATCTCCACATCGACATCTCCTTGACGCGCCCACCCTCGCCGACGGAGACCGCGGCTTACGTCGAATTCGAGTCGCTCTCCACTACAACCCGAAGTCGTGGTCCCATAGTGGAGTTCGACCGTGCCACAACGGCACATGGCAGCCCTATTCAGAGATGGCACTGCCAGCCCCCACGAGGGGAAGGGCCTAGAAAAGGTGGCCTAAACATTGCTGGGTACCACGCCGTCTCCAGGCTAGCCAGGGCCGCAGACGTCTAAACATGGTCGAAACAATCAAAATCGAAACAACAACAATACCAATAACAACAACAACCATACTCATTCTCCTCATCCTACCTCTTCTTCCTCTACCTTCGTCTATTCTTCTGCCTATTCTTCTCCTTCGTCATCTTCTTCTCCATCTCCTTCCCGTCGCCCCACTCGTTGTCACCAGACTGGCAGGGTGAGCCCGCTCACTCTGGCAGCCTGGAATGTTCGTTCCCTTTTAGACAATCCGAGGAGCAACCGACCGGAACGGAGGACGGCGCTAGTGGCACGAGAACTGGCACGCTACAATGTGGACATCGCCGCACTCAGCGAGACCCGTTTCTCCGCACAAGGCCAACTGGAGGAGGTGGGTGCCGGCTACACCTTCTTCTGGAGCGGTCGACCCAGGGCAGAGCGACGGGACGCGGGCGTCGCCTTCGCCATTCGGAACGACATCGTGGGGCGACTGCCCTGTTTGCCGCAGGGCATCAACGATCGCCTGATGAGCCTCCGCCTGCCTCGCCGGGGAAGCAAATTCGCCACCATCATCAGTGCCTACGCTCCGACGATGACCAACCCCGACGCCGTCAAAGACAAATTCTACGAGGACCTGCACGCCCTCTTGGCGACTGTGTTGAAGGCGGAAAAGTTGATTGTCCTTGGCGACTTCAACGCCCGCGTCGGCACAGACCATACTGCCTGGAGAGGAGTGCTGGGTCCCCACGGTCTCCGCGGCTCAAACGACAATGGTCTGCTGCTTCTCCGCACCTGCGCAGAACACCGTCTCATGCTGACGAACACGTTCTTCTGTCGGCCGGAGCGAGAGAAGGCCACCTGGAGGCATCCTCGGTCGCGCCAGTGGCACCTGCTGGACTATGTCCTCGTCCGAAGACGTGACCAGCGGGACGTGCTGGTGACGAAGGCGATCGCGGGTGCTGACGGGTGGACCGACCATCGCCTCGTCATCTCGAAGATGCGTATTCGCCTACAGCCTCGCAGGAGACCACAAGGTAAGCGACCCCCAGGTAAGCTAAATGTTGCCTTGTTGTCTTTGCCCGCTCACCACCTTCGTTTCAGCAATGAGCTAGCTCAACAGCTAGACAACCTTCCTATCGTTGCCGCCGACGACGCCGCCGCCGCTGCCGAGAACGCCTCCGTGGAGAACCGCTGGTGTCAACTGCGAGACACGGTCCAGTCGACGGCGCTCGCCGTCCTCGGTCGCGCTCCCCGCCAACATCAGGACTGGTTCGACGACAACGACGCCGCCATCAGAAATCTGCTAGCTGAGAAGAACCGCCTCCACAAAGCCTACGTAGATCACCCCACTGAGGACAACAAAGCTGCCTTCTACCGCAGTCGCCGCCAACTTCAGCAACGACTGCGCGAGATGCAGGACGCCTGGACTGCTCGCAAAGCTGAGGAGATCTAAGGGTACGCGGACCGCAACGAATGGAAGAACTTCTTCTCTGCGATCAAAGCTGTCTACGGTCCGGCGACGAAGGGCACCGCTCCTCTCCTCAGCGCCGACGACAACACTCTCCTGACTGAGAAGACGCAAATCCTGCAGCGATGGGCCGAGCATTTCCGAGGCGTCCTCAACCGCCCCTCCGTCATCTCCGACGCCGCCATCGAGCGTTTGCCGCAAGTGG